TGGCTGCTAAGATTTTGGTGCAACCATACTGTTGTACTGTATATACAAATAAATCAGGAATACTTTGAAAATGTGAGTAAGCTTTTATGATTTCTCTTGTTAAATTTGAAGTCCAATTTATTCCTTGGATTGATTTCAGTCAATAAGGGCTTCCTTGTTTTTTTCCTTCACACACAGAAGTAATTATTTCTCAAAGATGATGATATCATCATTGGTAACTAGAAATATGAATGGACAAAATAGTCAAACTGATGGATCCATTTAGTGAGCAAAGTAAATATAGTTTGCTTGTATAACATTCTAACAAAATGAAAGTTTTGATTCATTTTATTTCACTGCTGCTGATTGTTATTTTATTTACTGTACTCTTTCTTGTGGAGTTGTCCTGCAGGATACAAATAAATCCATAGTTTTTTTTGTGAAGTAACAGGTTGTGTACCAGTGTGTTATGTGTTGTTTGCAGTGCTGTGCTCCCACTTAAAGCTGGCTACACATGTTCTACCTTATTTAGTTGGCTAAACTAAATTAGACAAGGATCCAGATAAGAGTGTTATAGCTTTGATATTGAATAGATGACTTTTGGTTTGGTACAAGAAAGTTCCACAGCTCTGATGGTAGACACAGAAATTGTGATATTAAAGTAAGTCGGATCACGGTAACTACACCTGTACACAATGTTTACGTGTGTATGGTTAATAAGTGATTTAATAATGTAGCTCAATGTTAGAATATGTTCTTGATGAGTTTATTTTAATTTTTTAATTTTTTGGTGCTAATTTATATGCAATTAAGAAAGTAACCAATCTCCAGAATTAACCTTTATTATTTCAGGTTCTTGTTTAAATAAGAGTAAGAATGTAAATTTTTTTTTTTAGTGAATGTATTGTGATATACAAGTAATTAAATATGTTTGATAAAAGTATTGTGAGCCATTTCTAATACAATTCACTTTAGTATAATAGTATTTTGTCCTATTGAAAAAATAAAAAACTATAAACATGTTACACTCTGATTGTTTTCTACTGACACTTATCAATTCTTGGTTTAGTATTTTGCTAATAATGTGACCATAATATTTTTTTCATTGTAATTAAAAGTGTTCATAAAATTGCAACTACAGTAGTATGTTTACTCAAAGCTTGCAAGGCAGCTAATTGGTTTGCGGATGGACACACAAAGAGTCTCTACATTTCTTAAGTATTTAATCTGTTATATTATGATATTTTAAGGGATGATTACTATTCTGTGTTGATCTCTGATAATTTTTGCACTTGGGGTAGCAAAAATTAGGTAGAAATACACTGGTGACATAAATATATTGAAAAGCACAAGAAAACGATGAAAATATTTCAGCAATATCTTCCACCTCATTGCATAACGTTACGGGGCGAGGGACAATTTACGTCCCAGAACTTGTTCACCAAGTTTGTGTTCTCCATAGTTTTACTACCATTGTATTTCAAATGTTAATTTTTGCTTCCCCACTTTTGTAAATTATCAAGGATCAACTCAGAATAGCTATTATCTCTTAAAATATTAGAACATAAATACAACAGATTAAATATTAAAGAACTGGAGTGACTCTTTGTGTGTCCGTCTGCCAGCGAATCAGTTGCCTTGCTACAAACTGACCCTATGCCTCAGTTGCAAGGTTTGGGTGAACAGAGTATAGGAAACAATATGTGAGAAGTATTCTGTTCAGAAGTTATGAAAGGTTCAGACTTCAAGTCTTACTTGATAATGGGAAAGGATATTTTTCTTAGGACTTCTTTGTGTTCAGATTTACTGTACTGTGTCACTCATATGAGAGAAGCCCATCCAATATTTCAACATGTGCTTGTTAAATTATAAATAAAAACCCAGTATGACTGTAATTTTCACCCATGACCATTACATTAAACATGTAATAAACTGAAAACTTAATACAAGTTTTTATCCTAATAATGGTGGACCTAAGATTCGTCAGCAAGGCTGGCAGTTATGTACAGTAGCTAAAACAACTATCTGTGCATACTTAGTGGGAAACAATATGAGAACATGGACAATAAATTTTGGTATATGAGGGCTATCACTAGTCACACTTAAAATTTCGGAGCATATCGCCCCCACCTGCACGGATAGATGTTTTAGCTACTGTACATCAACACCTCTTACTATACTGGTTAATTATATGGATGTTATGACTGCCTGAACCCTGGCTTATGTAGCCCTTGAGGCAACTGAGAAGCTGCAAACTAAAGTAGGTGGGCAAAAGGTGGGCAGTATATCCCGCCAAACTTCAAATGCAGGTAATGTTGAAAGAGATTTACATAAATAAATTCAGCCATAGTTGACTAACAGAGTCAACTATGACTGGACACATTTATGTTTATCCCGTGGGTACTGACCCTATGTTTTGCACTGCATATGAGGCCTATAGAATAACAAGGGCATACAGTATGTCTGAATATATCAACTCGGCTCAATTTTCAGGCTGTACAGGTATCCCTCATTTAGCGTTAATTCACTATTGCACTATAAAGTTTTTGACAGCCCTTCTTGCTTAACGTTAGGTCAAGATTCGGTTTAGCGCTAGCTTGACTCACTGGGAAGGGGCAAAAACTGGTGATGAGGTTG